ACTCGATAAATTAATCTCCTCTGATAATATTATCACCTCTCAGTGGTTATTACTTTTTTCATAACTTATTCCCATTCTTCGATAAACTATCTTTCGTATTGTTGTGGCCTTGTTAGGGCCAGAAATGAACACACAATATAGGGATTGAGTAAAACAAATATATTAACAGAAACAGTAATACAAATATATACAAGTCGAACGGAGAAAAATTAAACAGATAAACTCTATCAGGAGATTGCAGGAAATTAAAAAATTGGAAAAAATAAATTCAAAAACTAAGTTTAAAATAAGAGAAAATCAAAAAACTAATAGTAAAAGAATAAGAGCAAAAAGCAAAAAATAAAAATGGCGAGGGTAAGAAATTGAAAAAGAAAAAAAATCAAAAAACTTTTCAAAAAAAGTCAGTAAAAAAGAACGTAAGAAAAGATAAAATAAAAAAGACTTAGCAGAAACGAATTTGAAGTTCACAAAAAAAAAAAAACAGTTCAGTTGCAGAAAAAAACGTCAGGTGACAATCGCCAGTCGTATCATGTCTGAAAAAGAGCTGGAAACTTACCTCTCCAAAAGGCAGTACCTGCTCCTATTTATAGCTGGGAAATTTCATGCGTGCATGGGTAAATTACCATAACATTTATATTTTATTAATTTTCAATAATATAATTTAATGAAAAGCCAATTCCTTACTGTTCACGTTAATATAATTCATACTAATTTAAAAGCTAATCTCCCGTGTCTCACATTTTATGAAAGTGAAGTGATCGTAAAGCAGAAAACCTGATCCAAAACGAAACCTAATCCGCTTCATAACCAAATCAATCGTTACATTTTAGCATCATTTTTTTTATTTTTTGCTATACAACAGAGCTTCGTTGATAAATTATATTTAACACTAATTTCCAACGAACGAAAATGTATATCCTTAATTTATTTCTATTCTTTATTTATATTTTTTTATTTTTATCTTTTTAATTTATTTTGCCACCGGTGATGACGCAATAGAAAACAATGTCAGCTGAAGGAATAATGCGTAATGAAATTGTTGACGCCTGATATAGAAATTCTAGAAAGAAAGAATAACTATGCTTTACAGATTAAGGGTTCTGGAGCATACACTTGAAATTCACCTGAGGGTTTCTTATCTTGGACACATTGTTTTTTTATGTCTTCAATTTCTTCACAAACATTAAAGGGTGGGTAGAACCCTATCTTTGCTTGTTAAGTCTTTCGAAATACCATGTCTCTTCAACAGCAAACAACATAGAAAATGATGCCGGTGTGGGTTTAATCGTTGACATCTTCATTTTTATGAAATACTAAACCGACCAAAATATGTTAATATACTTTATTATATATGTGTGTGTGTGTTTGTATATATATATATATATATATATATATATATATATATATATATATATATATATATATATAATGAAATGGTCTAAGTCCGCCAATTATTTAAATATATTTTATTGTTATATGTTATTTATATATACAAAAATATTTAAGTAAATGCTCTGTTTATAATAAACAGTATTAACAACATTTACCGGCCTGAATGTCCGAGAAATTTCATAGACAACATGGGTCTTCCGACAGGAATCGAACCTGTATAGAACCGTCATATAGCCTGACAGGCTATACTACTTTAGCTACGATGGAAGATTCTGGTTAGCAAGGTCGATTTACTGCTTTTAAACTACAAATTTCCCATGATGTCCCTCGATATATCTGCTCAAAGCGTATCCTAACTTAAACAAATGACGTCATATATTATGAAATGGATAAGTTTACGTTAAGATACACATCGAGATAATATGATCGTTCGAGGGAAATCATGGAAAATTTGTAGTTTAAAAGCAGAAAATGGACTTTGCTAACCAGACGCTTCCTTCGTAGCTAAAGTGGTATAGCACGTCATGCTAGATAACGGATTCGTGTAGGATACATGTTCGATTTCCGCCAGAAGACACATATTTTCTATGAGATTTCTCGGACATTTAAACCGATAAATGTTGTTTATTATAAACAGAGCATTTAATTAATATCTGTATAAAAATAATATATATATATATATATATATATATATATATATATATATATATATATATATATATATATATATATATATATATATATATATATATATATATATATATATATATATATATATATATATTGGAGGCACGGTGTGGTAATGGATAGCGGCTTGGATTGAGGAATCGCAGAGCCGAGTTCGAATTCAGTCGAATCCATTACATTCACTTACGTGCTAATACCCTTGGGAAAGGTGTGAATCCTCTTCTTCTCCCTCCAGCTATGGGTAAATAGCAGGATAGACCGGGTTCTATAGCCTTGGATGGCAACTGGTCTAGAAGAAGGATAACTCTGAATTCAAAACCTACGGAGAGTCGTTTGGGGACCTTGTGGCACTTAGTGCATTAGGTCTCTGAATTCGGCCCTTCGAAAAGTGTGGCTGGTCCTGCACGAAACCTTCACGACTATAATCAATTCTCATGTGCTGGTGTCGGGCTGTCGGTTTCCTGGGAACTGATCTGCTTGACCCTCATACGTCGAATTCGACGGGAGAGTCGATATATATATATATATATATATATATATATATATATATATATATATATATATATATTCATTCAAACATATTTCGTTGAATAATATAAACATATTTTGTCTACTTAATTTCTATACTAATTTTTCCAGTTGTATAATTTCTTGATGCTGAGGTGAAATTCATCAAGGAAGGCGGCGTAGATATGTTAACACTTAACACTCATCGCAGTTACAGTAGCATATCTGTCTTCGTAATTTACCCCTGAAGAGTATCTTAGAAAATGTCGAAAGTATATTTCAAGCTGTACTTAATAGTCAAACAAATTACACTCAAAAAGAATTTTAATCATCAAAATATATCCCATGATATTATATTCTGTATTGCCACACTTAGAATATTTGGTTCGTTTAGAGGCCAAAAACTCCCTACACCCGTTTCAACTTTATCCAGATTGTTAAACCTCCATAAGAACAGGAAAAGTTCAATAACACGGAAAAGTGATGCAAAAATGAGATTATAGGCCTCTTGAGGCAGAATTTCAAAATCTCTCAACTACTAAAGTTTGGTAGCATTAGCAGTATGTGCTGGGGCATTGTTGTGCTGTAAGAGCGATCTTCTTCGATTGGCCAGTGCTAGGTAGCGGATTTTCAAAGCATAGAACGGCTGCATTTGTTGAGCATTAAGATCAGTGGTTGGAGCATGATCCTCTGGGAGAAGCTCAAAGCGCAACGTCGCCCTCGAAATTCTACTAAACACAAAACCTGACTCTCTGTTCTAACTGCCTTCGTTTGACAATAGGTCATGAGGCCTGAACAAACAAAGACACTGATTTATCCTATTAGGATTATTTCCATCCCCAGTTACAATTCGACGCCAAATCCGGGCATCTTGAGGATTTGCCAGGAGTTGTTTGCAAAAGTTCACACGTCGTTGAGCCTGGTTCTTGGTCAGTTCAAGAAACTCGACAACGTCTATTCATACGTCCAAGATTACAGAGATATCGATTGATGGTGTTTTGGGAAGGACCACGTTCTAACAATAATGTACGAGTGTTTGTGTTTGGCTTTTGTTCAACCATTTCTAACAAGGTCTCATCTTCGACAACAGAAGGTCTCCTTGACCTTGATTTGTCTTCTGATCCGAGATATAATAATTGAACATAAAACCATATTGTCAACGTTGTTACTCTGACAATGACACGGCAACAGACAAGCATAACTGGTGACATAAAAAGATACAAAAGCATGAAACGGAATATTCAAAAACTTATAGGAACTCTTTCTTTGTTTTTATTTGCCACGTCATTTCGTAACGTCGAGGTTCAAGGTTCTCCACATCTTCCTTGAGCAAGATATTTCTTGCCGCTTTCCTTCCTATACGTTGTCCTTGTTTTACCATCCCTTCACTCCAAATCGTTTATTTACGGTACTCGCTATTTCCATCTGCTTTTCTTGCTTTCATTACAACTTATGAGTATTAAATTCTCCGAGCCTTTCTTTCCTCATTATGTGTCTCGTTCTAATTATAAGTATCAATTTCATTGCGGTTCCTGTTTTCCTTTTGGCTTAAGGCCATATTACGTTTAAACACCGGATTTCGCACAATCACCGAAGTTAAGCAACGTCGAGCTTAGTCAGTATCCATATGTAAACTTGAATGTGCAGATGGTGTTATCGATATCGGCTCGGAATTCAAAATGCCAATTCCAGTCGCATTCGTTATATTTGTTTACGCGCAAATACCTTTGGGAAAGGTATGAATCCGTCTCTTCTTCCCCTCAGCTATGGGTTAATTAGTACGACTGTGTGTCAGTAAAAATCATTATTAAAAAATCACCAAAATATTTTTTAATTCTAAAAATTATCTTCCGGCTTTAAATAACCTGCAAAGGGTTGATAAGCCGTAAAAACAAATCTCTCAATCTGTTTTTCTTATTTATCATATGTTCTGTTACTTCAACATTCTTCTACGTCTACTATCTCTCCATCTCATCGTCTCTCTCACTTTTTCTCTCTCTCTCTCTCTCTCTCTCTGAAACACACACACACATACACGCAATATACATATACACAAACTCATCTGTATATCTTAATCTGTTTGCATCTTAATATGTTGCATTGAAATGTGATTATGGTTAATGAACCCGATTGCTTGAACAAGGATGTTCACTTCGATCCTCACTGGGTGCCTCGTAATTGTAACCTTAATGTACCTTCTTCCTTTTTTACCTCTGATCGCAGTTCGCTGTTTTTGGCAAGAATTGAATGAGGTGAAAGTTGATTCCAAGCAGAGTAAAAAAATGGCCGACATTGAAACAATCCGAAAAAAAATGTCTGCGTGCTGTTCAGGGTATTTTATTTATCAGAGATATAAAATCGAATTAATTTGATAAACTACAAAAGTCGAGGCGGAATTCACGGAAACACTCAACCTTGTCGAAAAGAGTCAGATTCACCTTCTCTTCCGAGCCGTACAACAAGTGCACTTGCATTGCTACCAAATAGATCAAAGGATTGATAGAGAGACGCTAATAAAATTACTCTTCTTTTGCGATTCAGTTTCATTTTTTGCATTTTTAGTTGCAAACGGCCGTTTCCCCAAAAGACCATATCAATTAATTGATACGATAGAATAAATTCGATTTCGTTTGGTTTTGCTTACACTTAAATTGATTCGATATTTATTAATTTTATTTTCAGTTCCATTGATCCTGCGCTATGCTTAGTAAAAAGTAGGTTGAATATTATCTTTCATTTAATATCTTCCGACCTTCCCGAAATTTATTGAGCACCTCCATACAGTAGGACAAGTTCAATCAATGCTCGAAAGGTTTTGACTTTTAAGGAAACTGGAATGTACAAGCGTCAAATCTTGTGAAGCTTGTTACACGCATCTCTTATAAGAGCTTTGCGGTTGTTGAAGTCTATTATCTGAGATCCAAGATATTTGAATTGAAAGAGAAAACTGGAAAAACAGAAATGCGCTTCTACTGCTGAGAATAACATTGATGCAGCGAGTAACAAAATAGACGTAAGGAAAATGTGAACAAAAATGGCACATAATAAAAAATCAGATGGATACAGCTGAAATTTCTTGGACACGCAATGAAGAAGGTGAACTTAGAGAGTATTATGGAAACTTACCCATAATAATAATGGACTATTCCTGACATTAAAAATACTGCGCCTCTCAAGAGATATGAGGAGATTGTAAGATGAGGAGAGATAATTGAGAGCATATTGTAAGGATATTGGAATAGTGATAGTTGACGAGACAACATAGTTCACTCTAACCAAATCTGATAGTCATTACTAATACTTCTACTTCTTTGTATTATATTTCTGTTGTAATTTATCTTTGTATTCCATAACTGTGTTCGTGTTATTCTTTCATTGGTTCTAACCTTTGACCATCACCGTGGTACAAGGAACTTGGACCATAACAGAGAGTTTTATCATTATAGTAGATATCAAAGGTAAGGTACATAATGAAGATAGCGGACCACCTAACTGACGTGTTTAAGTGAATCGATGACAGAACGCTTTATGGGACAGAAACCTTACTAAGCGCTGCACGGAATAGGACGCTGTGGAGAGAATTGATTGTCCATGCACCGAAGAGACACAATACATAGATGGAAAAGTTTTCCTCGTTTTCAAATTATTTACTTTTCATATGTTTCTTATAAGCCTTGAAAAATCAGCGTATAAAAAGAAATATATATTGTTGGTGATGTCTGAATAACTAAAAACCGTAATTCCCCTTGTATAATACGCATTTTTTCTGAAAAATAATAAGTAAAATTAGTAATGCACAGTATGCACAGCTACATTTTTTTTTTAAATTGCCGTTTCCTAGGCCCATTTCAGTTGCGAAATGACGACTCACCATAAACATACGACAATTTGACAATTTGACACTAATATTCGGCGATTGCGACCCCAAAAGGATGTTAAATACAATCATATGTACCTAACAATATTTACAAACGTAAAATAAAATATAAATTATCATAAAACTAAATTAGAATAATATTATTCTATGTTTAAAACCATTTTTATTTAATAAGAGTAGAAAACGCTGGCCGTAATGAAATTGGAACGGTAGAATGTATAGGGTTTGATTATCAAACAAGGGGTGCGTATTATGCATGAGTAGAAGTATTTTCCCAAACTTTCAGCACAATTTTAGGGGTGCGTATTATGAATGAAGAAGTATTATACATGGATAATTAAGTAGGATGAATCCGGTGAATCCAGAGAATCAACGCAATGACTTGAAGGCTGATACCACAATATTTACAAGTGAATTTGCTTTTTTCATCAGTTGTTCTGTCGATAAAACAATTTATATAATATATAATTTTTGTTTTATTTGTATAGTGATACTCCAGTGAGATATTCGACTAAAAGCAGACGCTTTCTTTTTCATGGTTCGTTCTATTCAAATTCATATTCCTTCTCTTCCACACAGTCGGTAACTATACTGATAATATAAATATTGATATTTCTACAATTTGTCCAGACTGACAGCAATAAAACTTTGAAGTGTTCCATAACACTATTCCGACTTGATACTCATTGTAATTGTTGGTCTTAATATTATATTACTGAATTTATATATTCATCCACACGCAGGCAAGCACACACACACACACACATATATATATATATATATATATATATATATATATATATATAATAACCCCACAAATATAAAAGACACACCATAGGCAAACACACTCGTCGGACAAACACACACACGCACACACCATACTAAGTGTATATAGATATAAATATATATATATATATATATATATATATATATATATATATATCATTTCCTTGTAGTAAAACGATATACATGTATCGAGAAGGAATATGTATATACATACTAGCAAAAACACACACAATACTCAAAAATGGAGAGACGTTTAAAAAGATACAGAAGTCATAAAAAGATAACGCCTAAGACCCCCTTCCTTCTCCCTTTCTTTGATCAATCCTAATTGTTTTATTGCCCCTTAAGCAGAGGAGCGATGCCTCCTCAAAGCATTTAATTTAGACCTCTGTGTTGAGTAAGATCTTCAACAACAATTTTGGGGAATTTCTTTTCTTATCAGAGCGATTGGAATTAGTTTTCCGCTCTGCTCTACCTTCATAATCACCATTAGACTCATCCAACTCTTTTCCGAATCCTATGCACTGTACTCAGATTGACACCAAAAAAAAACTTTAAAATGTTTGTATTCGAGCTTTCAGCATGCCGTTTCCAAATTTCTGGCGGAGTGAATTGCGTCATGATCTTTTTCTCACAAACGGTGCCCAACTGACCCTACTATACAGTGCCGTCGATAAAATCTAAAATAAATAACGCCTATGCGAGAAATTAAAAATATGAAATGGTGACAATTTACCCATCGCACCCTGTATAGTTTGGACATAAGTATCAGCATTGAATTCTGGTAGTTTTTGAAAACTACTAGAGGCATTCAGTTTTTTTGGTTTTTTTTTTACTGATGAACAACTGAGCACTTTTTCCACAAATTTAACATAGGCTAAGACATATATAGATAATTTTACTTATTATAATACTGCTTTTCCCTTTCTCAGTCAGCTCGACTGTCACGCCCTGCCAATACATCATAAATAATGGACGATTCAATTTTGATCGCATGGAAAAGACGGAAAACATACCAGAGACGCTTCTTGGTTTCAGAGAAAGAAAGAAATTTTCAAAGAATGTCACTATGCAAGTCTTTAAACTCTCCTACTAATATCTCATAAATAATGAACTATTCTGTTTTGACATATCAGTGACGCTACTTGGTTTTAGTTAGAGAGCGAAAGAATGAAAGAGAGAAAGAAAAAAAGAAAGAAAAGAAAATAGAAGAGAAGATAGTAGTCAGTTTCACTGAAATGGAAAAAGTTGTCAATTTAAAAAAAATTTCATTTGTATCCCCTTACTTCTTAAAATAACGACCAACATTCATATTTATGATTGCTATTACAATATTCTGTTAATTTTGTTATTCTCAAATATTTAACGGTGGGAGAGGGGAATTTTTAGGGCTATTCTATTTTCCTAGAACTTGCCTTGAGCTTACTGAATAATTAAATTAAGAATTAAGATTCATCAGAAATTTCAAATAGGAAAACCATGAAATGTTCACGGGTTAAAACTAGTTATTTTAAATTGTTTTATTTCTAGAGATAACCATATTTTGGTTTTCACAGTCATAAAGCTTCGATCGTTGTACACTCTGAACTTCTTCAGTCGCTTCTTGTAACTGGTTAGCTTCTGTAAATTTATTAAATGTATTTATAGACATGTTGTATCTGTTTGTCTCGTTTTTCTTTTAATCGTTCTTCATCCATTACCCAGAAATTGAATACATCTTTGAAATTCAGTATCTATATACACTATTTACATTATTCGGACTATTTTCCTAATATTTGTTGACATATTTACTACAACGTTTCAGCTGTTGTACGCTCCGACCTTCTTCAGTTTGTTGGAATATCGAACTGAATCCTTTATTTGCAGTTTTTGAAAAGCGATAATAACAAAAATTACAATATAAGCTCTGGTAAAAACATGTATTGAAAACAGCAAAAATTGCAATATGAGCACTGGTAAAAATGGTTGCTGAAGACTTTAGGTTTATAATACCCACAAATTCATACACAGATGTCATCAAGGACACATAGCACTGTGAATAAAGTTGTTAGTTAGATCCAGTGACAGGACCCAAACCCATGCACAACATCCTTTAGGCTTTATTTGGACTACTGTCCTCATATTTGTCGCCATATTTATTACAACGATTCTGCCGTTGTACGCTTCGGCCTTCTTCAGGTGGTTGGAATGTCGAACTGAACCCATTATTTCGCTCACTGTGGTAGGCTGTTCTAGTTCCACGTGCCATGTTTAAGGACACATACCACAGTGGATAAAGGCGTTAGTTAGATCCAGTGACAGGACCCAAAGAGTGTGAGTTCAATACCCGGCTAAGGCAGTGGGGAACTTGGAGAGGGGAATTACCAGGAAATAACTGATAACCGACATACAACTAGAACACTCTACCCCAGTGAGCGAAATAAAGAATTCAGTTCGACATTCAAACTACCTGAAGAACGGCTGAAACCTTGTAATAAATATGGCGTCAAAGGTGCGGACAATAGTCAGAATAATGTAAATAGTGTATCTTTGAAATTCATACGGTCACATCCTGATTTATTCCTCAAGAATACGTAATGTTTGGCTGTTTGCAATAAACCGAACGGAATCATTTTGAAGAGCGTAAAATCTGTAAAAGTGAATTTTAGTTGGGGAAAAAAATCCCAAGGTTTTGATGTTGTAAGTGGTGCTTGGTTATTTGATACACCAACCAAAATGAGTGAAGCGGGCCGTTCTTTCCGCTAAAGGGGCTAATCTTCACACTGTTACCTCCAAATCTGATTGAGTCGTGTTACCCCCACCTGACACCCAACACACATACACACACAAATCACCGTTTGTGTCGACCTACGTCTGATAAGTTGCGATCTTAATGATCCAGGTGATTGTTAACTATCATCATCAAAATCATTAACTACATCATAAGCAATTTTCTCACCAAGCTTAAAAAGTAAATTCAGCCCTTTAAAAAAATTCGATTTTACCAACCGATTACCAACCGATTTCCAACACATAAAAATCATAGAAAGAAAAATATCTAACTTTATCTATACAAAGAACACCGGTTCTCGTACGATCAGCGAATATTTTCTAAACAGTTTTTTCGAGGTTTTTCGTTATGCGTAGGGGGTGTGGAAAAATAATATTGGTCTTGGCTACTTTTGGAGAATGAGCTGTGTTAAGTTTGAGCGAAATCGGTTGAAAAATGCAGAGATGTCGAACAACGAACGCACACACCTTCTGATATATATATATATATATATATATATATATATATATATATATATATATATATATATGTGCGTATAAAAGTGAACACTGTGGTCAACACCGAGGGGCGACAGTCTACTTCATGCTTGATAACAATTTTCAGGTCAACTGCGTTTAACCATGAAACAATGTCCTCGATCGATGTTGACCACCACATTTATATTTAGATATGTTTTATTCCTGATATTAAGCACTTTTACCCATAAATACATCATACCTCCAAACTATATTTATCATATATATATAATATATAATGTATGTGTGTGTGTTGTGAGAGAGATAGAGTGAATCTGTCAGAATTCCAGATAGATAGATAGATAGATAGATAGATAGATAGATAGTATTGTGGAGACCTACCTACAAATGGACTCTTCCACACCTATATAATATGGCTACCAACTCTGAGTAAAGGGAGTCACCAAGTGAGAGTCACCGAGTAGTAACCATAGAGTGAGTGAAGGAGTGAGTCAGGACACTAGTTAGAGAAAGTACTCTCCAGTCCACATTTACCTTTGTACTACGTTTCCGAGAATATACTTTTTAACCTTATATCCGAGTCCGTGTTATCTTTCTATGGTTCTACACCATAACAGATAGATAGATAGATAGATAGATAGATAGATAGATAGATAGATAGATTTATGATTAAGTGCCTGTCCCGAGACAATACGATCTTAACCTCTGTGTTTTAAAGACCAGCTCAACAAATCATCTTTCTTTGCTACTTGTATTACTTTTGAGCTTATGTCTAGCGCTCGACCTTTCTATAAGTGCCTTAATCTTGTTGGTAGGTAATTTGGGGAATTTTATTTGATCGTGAACTTATTTCCCTGCATCACAAATTGAAGTTATCATCTAGGGAAGATGGACAAAGTATCATTTTTCTGAGATCAATTATTCTGATATGATTTGAAAGGACATTGCACACTGTTTATGACTGCCCAGTTTGATGACCCATGTCAGATATATAAGACAATTTTGCGGCTCAAAAAATAAGCGACTTAGATTAAATTACAACGTCTCTTTCAGCGTTCTCTTTCTGATTGGTTCACAAATCAATAGATATTTACTGTAATGTTGCAAATGCGTTGCCGTATAGGTTAGCCTCTTGATGGTGCCAGCGAATCGAGTTCAAATTTCGTCTGAGACTGTTTAACTTCAATTTATTAACCCCTTTCATTCCCATCGCTTGACGTTGTAATAAAAAATTTCTCGTCACTGGAATGCTACGAAGAAGAAAGTAAGCGAGTAAGCAATTAGACAAATCGCTCTCTATCTCCATCTCGCTATCTCTAAGCTAAGTGAAGTTGTCCTCGCATGGACTAAGGCGAACGGCTCGGACAAAGGAAGGCAAGGAATGCAGATAAATTAGGTTTTTAGACAAAGATGACAGGACAACAGACAATGTTCTCTATATGACAGTGGTCAATACCTGCGAAAACGGCAGAGTGACGAGGACATCGCCTTACATCGACGGAAAAGTGAAGACGCCTTTTAGACTGTTCACCCCCTCCCCCCGTCACCTACGCTTCATTTTGGTTTTCCTCGTCTATAGCAGTACGTTATAGTTTGGGAATAAAATCTGCTAGCTGCTAAAATTTTCATTTTTTTAAAAATTTGTGTGTAATTCATATATTTAAGCCAAAAGCGTATGACTGAAAGAAGCTGCACCCTGAGAACAATCCTGGTGCCTGATCAGGGTTGCAGTGTTACAGGGCTGAATTATTGGTGTCGTGACCAACGTTAATCATCGATTCGACCACTACCAGTCGTGAGAAAACGATCAAGGAAAAAGAGTAAATGATAGTCATAAACTCATTTGATTTCTTGTAGTTTTTTTTTTTGGGGGGGGGCGTCATGGACCTTCAGACATTTACAAATGGACGAGGTTAGGCGTGAGATTCCCAAATGATCCATTGGCTGCCAAAACTCGAATATCATAGGCATCGATAGGCAGAAGACAATGTATAAACCGTCCGTAGGCAGAAAAAATCATTTTGTCTCCTTCACGCACTCTCCACTCAGGTTATAACTAATAATCCCTATTCAAATCATCTCTCATCAGTCTAGTTGACGAGGCATCCGCCAAAGAGGTTTAATCTAGTCATACAGACATCATCTTGTTTGCCAGCCGTCGTGATCATCCTTCGCCGTCATATTTTACAGAATCGATTTCTCAGTTCGATGATCAAAAATGCATTGGATCGATTGAAGGGTGTAGTTCTTATTATTAACCATCACCGCTACAGAATCACAAAATAATGTACCAAATAACAGAGACTACTGTGACGTCGCCCCCTGGTCGCAGCGCCAACTGTGACGTTCTATTCTGGTCTACCACGGCACCAACTGTGACGTCCCTAAACAGCACCAATTGTGACGTCCTCGCCGCGGCGCCAGCTGTTCGCTTCTCGCGACAGCCTCCTTCGTGCGTCACGTGATCACCACTTGACCAATGATGTCTTAGTCGGGCGTGGACGAATCCGCGGCTTTGTTTCGGAAAAAAATATCTTGCTTAACTAAAAAAAATTATCTTTCCTCCTCCTTCGTGCGTCACGTGATCACCACTTGACCAATGATGTCTTAGTCGGGCGTGGACGAATCCGCGGCTTTGTTTCAGGAAGAAAAAAAATATCTTGCTTAACTAAAAAAAATTATCTCTTCTCTTTTCCTGTTCTTCCTCTTAATCGCCGTTATCATTTCTCTAGCCGCAAACGGGACAATATGAACAATGGCGGTCATAACTCTTGTTCTACACGTGGTTTTCGTCAGGTATTTTATCGCTAATTATTCGAATGGGTGGTCTTCTTAACACGGCCAACCGTCGCCCCGAAAAGACATTTCTAAATTCCCATTCATTTCCCTTCGGTACATATTTCTGATAGCATAATTTTATTATCGCAGGCCAAGGATGTTCCGTCGAAGGAAATCGGTCAGCGGACACTCGTGGGTGGCTTTTAATTTTTCATATCTGTCCAAAGTCCTTTTAGTTGCCTGTTTTTCGTCACTTATCGAAATGACATTTTCCTTTGAATTTTTCGTTGGCCAGTCGGTCTGTAGTTGATAATAAGATGCCTTCCCGTACCAATAGTTTGTTTTCATATCCTTAGATAACACAGCCGTCGCCAAAACATATCTGATTCTTTCTTTCTTTCCTTCCCTTTCTTTTTACTCAGAATTTCCCTGTCATTGTAATGACACTCTTTCGCCATTTGTTACTTATGAAAATATCCCTTATCCATTGTCTCTTAGCCGTGTGTGTGTTCTGCTTATCATCCACGATTCGGTCCTTAGCCTCTCCTTTTCTTCTTTTCTTTCTTTTCTTTTTCTGCCTCGTTAAATGGTGCCACACTACATTACTTGAAGATTTTCAACAGCTAAAACCGTTCGCAAATATATCTCGAATAAAAAAAACAATGACCTAATCAAGATATTGACCTTCTACACTACATCAAACATATTTTGAGGGCAAGGAAACCCCGAACAATACTGAAAAGGGCAATAACAGGCGGTGGACTTGAGAAAACTTTTCCTGAAAAAATGTCTTAAGAGAATGATTTTACTAATTTCAGCCGACAGAGACACTGGCAGCTTGATCTACGAATGTCGAATATTTCCGTATAAGGAAACGGCTAACATTATCATCGCCATATAAACTGAAGTAGTAAAAATAGCAAAAGGTTATCTAATAATGTGTAACTACCCTGTTCACTTAAATAATTGTCTCTACAAGACTTACCTTGGAGTGCATGCGCTTCAGGCTTATCTATGTAAGTATATCTATCCAAGAGAGGTACCGACATTGAAGTCTGATGTAATATCATGTATATCTATCCAGAGCTTTGCAGAACTATTCCTGAGTGAGTTTTATAGTTGCATCATTAAGAAATGCAGTGGGGTCTGCAATATTCCATAAGTATTCAATGGGTATTATACCTGGCAAGCGTAGGGTTTAAGGGAATAAATAAAAATCATGTTCAAACATGTTTTCCATTCGTCGACAAAAATCATTATGTGCTTTTTATTTTTGGATCGTGCACTGCATGCAGTTCAAGAGGAATTTTTCGATCCGAAGATAATTGGTCTCTTGCAAGATATTTAGCAAATTTTGCTGTTAATATTCGTTCACACGCATTCTTATCGGTCTTCAAAAATGTATTACGTTCCGTGCTAAATGAAATTTAAAATGATGAAAAAAGAGACGATATCATCAAAATGATTTTTACGAGGAAGAACCATTTCTTCTATGTGCCATGTCCCTTCAGGACGTTCGCGGGTCTCCACAGTTTCCTATATTTTGTAGATTTTAGAAACTTTTTTTTAATCTCTCCTAAACCCTGTTCAGCCAATCATTTAGACAAGTTCGTTAGGTAGGTTATGCACTGTTTTCCTGTCCTTCTTGCCTTCAGTATGTCTTGTGAGTGTCAAATTTTCCAAGCTCCCTTTCCTCATGATGTGCCCTAGAAATTTCAGCTGTCGATTTCTGATATTAAGTGTTCTTTTTTCCCATTTTGTGTAAAAATTTCATCGTATCTCAAATTTTCAGACCATGGTATTCTCAACATCTTTCTGTAGAACCACATTCCTGTTGTTTCAAGCCTCTTCTTCATCCGTACAAAGACTGCTTAATATTCAGTGTAATATTATGGATATTCCATAACAGTTCAAAACTCTTTTCTTAATTTTCAATTAAATTTTCCCGTTTCTTAATACTTTGCTTATCTTTTGGAAGACATCTTTCACGGTGACAATGCGCCGTCGGATTTCGATGCCTCACTATCCGTCGTCTGTTAATACACTGATCAATGTTTGATTTTTGTAAAACTTGTTTATATTGTTATCTCCTGCTTTTAATTTGCACATTGGGTATTTACTTTTGCTGACAACCCTACATTTTCTCTTCTTACTGTTGATGCTTAGTCTGTAGGAGTTTTTTCTAGATTACTTTTGTGTCTGTTATCAACACTGTGTCATGTGTTGTTAGGTTTGTAGCCGGCAATAATGAAACTCGGAAACTAAATAAAACTAACCGACAACTAAAGTAAAACACAACACCTAAAGTGCAAGGAGATATGTGCTGACAGGATTTTAAAAATGCAATAAAAAGAATTGAAATAATAATTCAAATTGCAACAGATCAAGAGAAGCTTTAATTGTATCGGCAAACGAGTTCATCTCAATGTAAATGAGATAAGAAAAATAAAGAATGGAAAACAAACGTAATTTTCGACATGATAAAAAAGAGACAGCAAACAATGCCAAGGAATGTTACAGAATATAGAAACGTAGACACGAAAATTAGAAACAAATGTCGGTAGGCAAAAAGGAATGTCTGGATGAAATTTCTGCAGAGATAGAAAGAATAACCACTATAGATAATGCACAGATACAAAAATATAATATCAGGACCAAAGATTTGCTCATCGACAGACAGTTTATAATCTTAAAAACAGGTTTTGAAAATAGAGAAATGAAAAATACTTACAAGATAGAACGAATACATCGAAGAACTCTTCCACGAGGAAAGAGGAAAACCTGCAATACGTAAAACATGTAAGGACTTGAAATATTAAAATCTGGGGAAAAACGGTACTACTATAGATGAAGACGAACCAAAGCAGCAGCACATGATGGGTTTGTAACAGAAATGCACTTAGCCTTATACCATTTTCGTATCGACAAGGTCAAAGAAATAATAAATGAAATATACGATAGCGGCGAGATACCGGAAGCCCTTACTAGAGAACATCTTCATAGCGTTGCTTTAGAAGCCAGGTGCAAATAAATGCAAGATCAATCGACTTTTTTAACTTAGCGATTCGCATAACCAAGATAACCATCCACATTCTGCTGTAAAGAACTCGTAGAAGAATTAAACTGGAAATAAGACAAGAACAGTGTAATTACATTAAAGAACAAGAAATGTGATGTTTATGATCAGAGAGAAAAATAAAATGCAAAAAGACATAAAACTATATTTAATCGACCATGTAACAGTATCTGATAAGCTACAACGTAAAACACTATTTTTACTGCTTAGAAAATTTTATTTATTCGGAAAAGATTATAGAAAAATCCGAAATTTTTACTGGGAGCAAAGCACCTGCATACAGATAGTAAATGCATTTAGTAAATACACAAAGATATAAAGTTGTTGTAAAACAAGTGTGTTTCTTTTCGCAGACTTGTAACAGAACTAGAAGTCCCACCAGTATTAATTATTGTTGGGTACATTCTTACCAAACTAACATATGTAGATGTTACAGTGATGATTGTAGACAAGAAGAAAACTATAGGAACCCTAAACAAGGTTGTAAAAGAAAGCCAGAAGAAAGGACTAACCATTAATTTGAAAATGACAATATACGATCTTCGAACTGCGAAATGGAGATGCCAAAATCAGGTAAGTACGGATATTTAAGTGTTTTAACAGAGGAAAGATAGTGTAACTCCGAAATCCGAAGGTGCATTTGAATAGCGAAATATGATTTCATAAAGCTGAGTACGGAACTGGAATGACATATCGGTTCTCCTATATGGGAATGAATGCGGTTCTCCTATATGGGAATGAATCTCAATAAAGAAGAGTTGAAGCGAGAGAAATTAGATTTTACGCAAGATGCTGGGAATTCCTTGGACTGAACATGTGAGTAACGAGGAAGTTTTAAGAAAAATGAAAACGAAAAGGACGCTTATGCGTAGAATCATAAAGTGATAGTTGAAATTTCTGCGACACATAATGAGGAAAGAAGAATTTGACGCCCACGTGACATGGAATGCAAAAAAAATGATAGAGTGTACCCACGAAATGTATGACAGAACAAGTAGAGAGAGGGATAGGAAAATGGCAAAAATTACGAAGGGTTACAAAGGATAAGAACAGTTGTCTATATTTTTGAGATGAGGTATTGTAATTATTTACATTGTTCAGACTGTTGTCCTCATTTTTACTGCCATATTCACGACGTTTCGGCCGTTGTACGTTCCAGCCTTATTCAGGTGATTCGAATTTCGAACTGAGCTATTTAGGGGTAATTTTTTTCTAATTCTACGTGCTATGCCTCTTCTGGGTGTCTCAGTTATTTGTTCACCACTGCCGTAGCCATGTACTGAAATCACAATTCTTTGGGTTAAGTCACTGTATCCAACCAACGCTTTTATCCACTGGGCCATGGTGGACGAAATAAAGGGTTCAGTTCGAAATTTCAATCACCTGAATAAGCCCGGAGCATTGAAAGGCTGAAACGCCGTGAATATGGCAATAAAGACGAGGAGAACAGTCCGAACAATGTTAATAGGATAAGGTGCAGGTAGCCATTATCGCCAATGTCCTCAAGGGACAAATTACATTGAAGAAGAGATTTGGCTGTTATATACATATGTGTCCAAAGTATTTCACGAATCACATAATCTAATAAGGGACCATAACAACCGTGGGGCATCAGGTATAAGATAGCCTGACGGGCGCCTATCACTCTACAGGCTGCTTTTGAATCCATAGTGTTTTCTCTCTCAAGGGGAGATAACCACGCGGTTCTGTTTAACTAATACCTGGAAGATTGATGGTTTCACGCTCTTCCCAAAGTTATGTAATTAAATAGCCTCGTGAGATCGAGGCTTTCATATCGATGTCAATCATGGCGCCAAACCCGTTCAGAAATATAAATTCTAAATATCTACAACAGCTTCTTCAAACCGATGCTTAAAAAGATCTTTGTGTGTGTGAAGTCTGTGGATCTTAGAGAAAACAAAACTTCTTTGAAACTTGTGGTCTGGCGCTAGAGAATCACAAACAAAGAACTGTACCAAATAACAGAAAAGGCATCACTTGAAGACTTCCAACAGTAGTAACAATTAAAATTGATAGCACATTGATTAGAAGAGATAATAATGAGATAATCAAGGTGTTGACATTGCGTCCTACTTCGAACAAAGGGTTAAGAAGGAAACCGACATCAGTATTGGAATGTGCGGTTATAGCTAATGGACTTGAGAAACCTATTTTTCTGAAAAATTATTATCAGTATTCCTGACTGCTTGGTCAATGAATGACAATTATTTACTTATCAGGAAAAGGTTAATATTACAATTATCATTAGCACGAAGTGAACGAAACGGGATAGAGCTAGAATCGAACTCGGCAACCGGAAATCACTTTTATGCTATATGGTCCGTTTCGTTCGGCTTTTTACTTTGTATATTGATATAAAATTTCTTTTTTCTGTTACTATTTTCTTTCTTTTCTTTTGTTTCTTCTTCTTTTGTCTTTTTTCTTCTCCCTTTTGTTCTACTTGTTTTTTTTTTCCTTTGATTTTTCTAAGGTTTTCTTCTTTATCTCTTTCTCATCCACTTTCTTTCTTTTATTCTTCTTTCTTTCTTTTTGTTTCTCTTCTTTTTCTTTGTGTTTATTCTCTTTCTCTCTTTTCTTTCTTTCTTTCTTTCTTTCTATAATGCGGTCTACCTCATTACTACTATACGTCAACTGTGCTATAAATTCTACCTCACCTCGTTCGGTCCACCTGCGATCTACCCCGGTGAATTCTACTATCACCTCTCGGGTGTCCTGTCCACGTAAAAAGAAGGAAATGAAGCTCCCACATCAGAATCCCCCTGGGTTTGAAACCGTTAACATCAGCTGGATAACCTCCTTCAGATTAAAATGCTGCTGAAAGATTTTTTATAGACGTGTCGTCTTGACCTAGGAAACAACACTCGCATTTTTACGAGAAAACAATCTGCTAGATACATTTAGTGTTAGATAGCGAGGTACACCGAATACTATAGAAGTAAATGAGGTAGACCGCATGCTACAGTGTTTAATACCGCGGTAGACAGCATACTATAATAGCACCGAATGAGATATACAGCGTTTTTTTCCTTTCGATGAAAATCATTAATGGATCCACAGGTAGCTTGATTCAAACGTTACGCACATTGTAGTTATGCAGGTAGGTCAATGGGGGGCGAACAAGTATATTAATCAATAATTGTGTCGTTTATAATCAGCCCAATCATAGTGGCTGCCTCTTTTGTGCATTAGTTTCGATATGTCTACATAGGTAATTATCAGTAACGCAATTATTATAATATTTAGCGCGCTAACGATCACTTCAAAGACCATATTTAGTTGGCCGGCAGGCGTTGAAGCAAAAATAACGTTCCTACTGTGACGCGCTCTAAATAAAGTTTTGTGCAGCATAAGAAAGAACAGGAGAGAAGATACGCAAATAACAAGCAGTAATCACCCTGGGGCGTTCTTGCTCGTTTGAAGAACAATAGATTTAAAGAAATGAAATGAAAAGAAAGAAAGAAAGAAAGAAAGAAAGAAAGAAAAATAGAAAGAAAAGAGTAGAAAAAGCAAGGAAAAGGGACAAGAAAAAGAAAAGAAAAGAGTAGAAGAAAACGGAGAAGATAGAAGAAAAAAAGCAAAGAAAAAAGGAAGAATGACAATAGAAAGAGAAAAAGAGGGAAATGGAAGAAGAAGAAAAAGATGAAATGCGGAAGAAGACAAGATTAAAAAAAAGGAAAGAATAAAGAAGAGATGTCTCGAAGAGAAAAGGAAAGCGAAGAAGAAAGAAAAAAGAAGAGAGGCGTAAAATAAAGAAGAGAGAAAAGATGATGAAATAAGAGAGAAGAAAGAAAAACAAAAGAGTGTAGTAGAAAGAACTAGCAGGAGAAAAAGAAAGAAAAAAAGAGAAGTAAGAAAAAGAAGGAAAAGAGGCGGAAGAAAGAGAAAAAAGGAGATAAAGAAAAAATGAAAAGAAAGGAAAGAATAACAGATAAAGAAGGAAAAAGAAGAAAGCAATAAGAAGAAAAGAAATGAAAAAATAGAGAGAAGAAAGATGATGAAGATGAAGAAGAAGCAAGTTATTAAATCAAACACGAAAAGATGTAAGTCGATCTAAAAACGTTTTCCCGTGAGAATGTTTATAAAAAGTAATTCGAATGCGATATTAGCAAATTACTGTCTTCGTTCGAAGCAGAATATTTTTGCGACGATCAGACAATGAAATACCGTTTATATTCAATATCTAAAATAAGCGACACGTCAATCTGAGAATATAATTAATTTTCTTTTTATACAAACATTTAAAATATTTTTTTTAAAAAAGCAATACGCAATATAAGAAAACCTCAGAATTATCTCCCTTTAAGCATGCGCAGCTGGGGCAACAAAATGCAACAATTACAAACTATTCTCCTGATAATATGTGTAGCTTAAGGCTTATCGACGTGGAAAAAAGAAACAGTAGACCGAGTTCAAATTCCAGCCGAGGCATTCATTTCGAATAATTTTCTAAGTTAAAAAACATTTATGGCGACTCACAATTTACAGATATTAAAAAATGAAAATACGGTGACCTCCGATCACTTAGGATATGAGGTATATTTTTTTAAATTTTTCACCTAATGAAATATCGTCTAAAATAATCTGTCTATATTTCTGAGATGAGGTATTATGTACAGTATTTACATTAGTCGGACTATTGTCCTCATCTTGATAACAAAGTTGCAATATGTACTCTGGTTAAGATATGCAATGATAACAGCAAAAATTGCAATATGAGCACTGGTAAAAATGATGCTGAAAACATTAGGTTTATAATACTCAGAAGTTCATACCCAGATGTCCGCAAGTACACATGGCACAGTGGATAAAAGCGTTGGTTAGATCCAGTGACAGACCCAAAGAAGGTTTTTCAGAGGAAAAATTGGCATGATAACTGACATCCATCAAACATACTTTCGCTCACTGTGGTAAACTGTTCTAGTTCTACGTGCCATGTCCAATGGATGTCGGTTATCATTTATCTTCTGTTAATACCCCACACCAAGTTCTCAACCGCCGTATTGAACTCACACTCTTTGGGCCCTGACACTTGATCTAACGCCTTTATCCACTCTGCCATGAATCATTATCCATTAAATTGAAAACACATCCAAACTTACAGCACCAACTGGTAGTCTGAAGCGGTCACCCATCTATGCGCTTACCAGGCTTGTCGTTGCTTAACTTCAGTGAGCATACAGTAACAGATCCTTCAACGTGATGTGACCGTTAGAGATGGAAAATTGGATTCAAACCGTCGTAAAGGTGACGAGAAACCTCTTCATTGTTATTTCCCGCCACAAGAAAAAAATGTCAAGTAATTCATATATTATTTACACTTGAACTGTTATCCCCATTTTTTTTTTTTTTTTTTTTTTTATGACAACGTTTTGGTCGTTGTGTCGCCGATTTTGTCAAGTGCTTGTCGATTTAGGTAACCTTCCAGGAATTTCAGAGTGAACCCTTTATTTAATCTACAGAGGAGTTTGCGCTCGTTTTACTTGACCCTCCACTAAATCAGGTTTTGAAACAAGGTCGGTTTTTTAACGTGAAGACCCGAGTGTTTCCACTCAGGCTGCTGGTCTCAGCAGGTCAGAGCTTGTCTAAGCTGGTCAGAGCTTTTCTACGCTAGTTATAGCCAGTCATGCCAACGCTACGTAACAGATGTCACGCAACGGTGGGAGGAACACAAGGAAGGAGAGAAGCCCTCCGGCACACAACAGCTACTAAATTAAAGCATCCATCCCGACAGGTGGACCTGGGAACACAAGAAATTGCTGGTGTTCCCAGGTCCACCTGACCCGGTGTAGTAGCACCTGTTAGGGTCTCAAATATGGGCAAATAGTTAACCCTCAAACTGGGGTCAAAGCACTATGAAAGTGTAAAAATAGGTTTTAATACCAGCAATACATTTTTGAAGAAAAATATTACCAGCAATAAAAATCTTGTCGGCATTAAATAACCCACTAAAATGTTGATATACCGTAAAACAAAACAATCAAACCCAAACCGACACAAGAACAGACAGACAGAATTTACCGTTTATTTAAGATGGAAACCATTCCTATTTAATTATTTCTTTTGATTACGCAGTTATTGCTTTCTTTTTCTATTTAGTCTAAGTTTTCAGAAACCAATAGTCTCGTGAATTAAAGCATTAGTTCGTGAATTTGCTGGCATTGTCATTGTGAGTTCAATCCTTGCGCTGGGTAGTATAAACTTAGGGCATTCCCCAAACCCCTACATTCTTCTGGAGGGATTGGCAGAGGAGGAGAAATGCGTTTTTTTCCGTTTTCTAATCGAAATTTAGTAAGCATTCAGCTTTTCCTTGCTTGTTTTTAATTTTTGTTCTCTTTAGAAAAAATTTAAAAAGTAATCGACGACAGACTGCAAGAATCTTTTCCACGAAACGTCATCTCAAGAATCAGTCTGTTATGTGCCATGCGTGATACACGCTGAGGCGATCATGCATTTTTCGATACATGACTGACGAGGCAGATTTTTCCCCCTCAGTAGATTGCCATTTCGTTCTGCGGTAGATCAATTGCTATCCAAGGCTATAGAACCCGGTCTGTCCTGTTATTTATCCATAGCTGGGGGTGAGGGTGAAGATGATTCATAACGTTGCCAAAGGTATTAGCACGTAATTGAAAGTAATGGATTCGACTGGAATTCAAACTCGTCTCTCCGATTCCTCAATTCATTACTCCACCGTATGAGGGTCCTTAACAAAAGCACCTAAACAAAAACAATGGACTTTCAAACAGCGTTCATCTCTATAAATTCTCCTCAACGTTTATGTTCTATACACGGGTGGTTCGTCCCGAACTCCGTCTTCACACACAGCACAAGACCAAAAGCAAAATGTCGTATGCCATGCAATGCTGTACAGAATAATTGTGACGAATAAATGAGGTAACTGGTAACTAAATGTAATGAATTACAATTTGTAAAAAAGAAGTTTTTTTTTTTTCATTATTTTCATTTCTGTACTTATTAAATTCTTGAATTTTTTTTTCGGCTAATCAAAAGAAAGCCAGCGGCCTTGCGCTAAGTATTAACACTTTGAATTGCTTCGTTTCTTGTGTCTAAAACCAATTAAACGTTTTATCGATTTATGCTTAAAACTATCGCAATAATACGCTTGCACATTCTAACTTGTCGAAAAATATTTGTGAAAAGCGCGCTTCGCATTACATATTTACCATAGTTTACTTCCAAATAAATAAAAAAAAAAAACAAAGTTCATATTGGTTGAGAGTTCTACAAATTTTCAAAACACACAGCTATTGTCTGGAATCGACAGACACGGTTGCCGTAACCCCTATGTCGTAATGACACCTCATATACGTCAGCAGTCGTAGCATAGTGTGTCTAAGGTAAGACAGTCTAGCGGGTCCTAAGCTCCTTTAGGGTGGTTTAAATTTTCCTTTTCCTATTTCTAGACAGCGGGAGATTGATCCCACTACCACACACGGCTGTCCTAAATTTTGAAAAAATATATAATATACATTAGATATTGTGCTGATATATAAATGAGATGCTGTACAAAAGGCAGTATCGCTATACCTACGCGGGAGTTATCTTCTCTTGTCAAGGCTACATCTGTCAGAAAGAATACCTATTATAACATATATTACGTATTTTAGACCCCCCAAAAAAATTAACGTTTTTCTTTCGTTAGAAAAAAAAAAACAAGTGAAAGGAAGACAAATTAAAAAATAGTAAATAGTTGTGCATAAATAGGATATTCGAGATAAAAAAAAAAAAAAAGTTTTGATAATTGTGGAGAAACGTAGCCGAAAGAAAAAGAAAATTAAAAAAACAAGATTTAAGCCTGAAATTCTCGGAGATTAGGAATTCATTATTTATAACATGAGAAATAATCTATATTACCTTTTTTGACAGGACTAAATTATCAACTGGTACAAAATAAATTAAAATGAAATAAATTAAAAGTAGAAAAAGGCCAGGTTGATAAATATAAGTTTAGATAAGCAAAACAGAAAGTAAATTTAAGAAAAATGTCCTTCAAGATAGTTGTACAAAAATAAAAACTAATAAAAAAAAAAATCGGTCACGGGGGAAAAGCTGAAAGAAATAATAAAAACCAATATAATTACAAATAAATATCATAATCATAATATATATATATATATATATATATATATATATATATATATATATATATATATATATCATAATATATATATATATATATATATATATATATATATGAAATGAAATAAAATACTAATAAATTTGTCTTGTCTTAAATTATTAGTTTTAAGAAATATTTACCTTGTTCTTTTTTAGTTCTGTTATAGAAAACAGTATTCTTTTTTAGGCTATTGTTCACCCAATACAACGCCTAAGAGGCCCTCAAGGTAGAGTGTTACTAAAAGGGGCTGTTATATATGAATGTATGAGGAAGTAAGAAGTGAAGATTATGAGGATATGTGGGATAGATAACAGTTGACTCTAAGTCGAAGAGTTTGAGATTATAAGGATCGAGGATGCACCCTCACGAAAATCTGTTTATGTTTATTTGCAAATAAAAATTGACCTTTTATTTTGTACAATTAAACGCAACACTTTCAAAAGAATAACTGTAATAAATATTTTCCATAAGGGCGGATATTATAAGCTTAAAACCACACGATATATTGCTGTTGTAAATAGATCTTAGTGGGTGTGTCGTCGAATAGGCGAAAATATTAGCATGCCAACTCAAAGACTAAAAAAAAAACATGGTTTCGAATCTTAACAGGTTCCATTCGTCAGAATGATCACTCCTTGCTAATAACGGCCAAAGGAGTCACTGAAACGTGCTTGAAAAATCATAACATTGGTTGACGTAAGCCTTGTGAGGGAAATTGGGTCGACAAAATCCATCGGTGTTTGTGTAAACATGAAGTCACAAGCCATCTTGGCCGAAAGTATAAACATAATGGCTTTGTACAAAACTGTTGACTATGCGAGACAATGGGCTCCCTCCCAGAAACTGTAATTATGCTCCGTCCAGCAAGGATACCCTATAATGCACAATTTGGCTCTGTGGGTGCTGATAA